CCTGTCCTCCACTGGTGCTATGGGTCACCAGGCAGGTACTCTGACCAAAGCTTGTCAGAAGGGGACAACATAAGAGACAAGAAGTCTCTTGGTCACCAAATATTTATAAATGCCAATTATATGCCAGACTCTGACGGCTCTCTACTTTGGTGTGTCCCATACAAGAGTATGTGTCACGCTGTTTCTCTTCCTCCAGGAAGGATGAAACTTTCTCTCAGACCTGTGCCATTCCTGAGACACATTATCATCACTTAAATCTTTTCTTGACCACAGTGGGAAATGCCAGGGACTGAGGATCTGTCATTTTGCCGTTTCTTCTCTAACCTGGTCCTCCGTGTGCTTTCAAAGCCAGACTTCTAGAAAGGGTGGTTTGCACTCCTTGCCTCCACATCTTTTGCTTCCAATCCCTCCTCACCCACTGCCATCTGGTTTCTGCTCCCTACCACCTCACTAAAATTGACCTTGCTAAAGTAACTGGCGAACTCCTGGTTGCCAATACAAGGTACACTTTTCAACGGTGTCACACTTCAGTTCTCTGCACTCTGTCACTGCTGGCCTCACTTTATAGCCCTTTCTTAGCTGCTGGGACATCACTCTGCTGATTCTTCTACTCTTTGGCTGCTTTATCTTGGGCTCCCTTGTAGGCTCATTTTCTAGCTTCTTAATTTGGGAGTTCCTTACGGTTCCATCCTCCACCCTTCTCTCATTATCTCTAAATTTCATTTCACCAAAATTGAATCCATAGCCACAGAATCCCAAACCTTTATTCCCAGAAAGAGCCTTTGTCTTGAGCATCATATCACTTTATTTAAGTGCCCGAGAGCCAACTCCTCTTGGATGTCCTAAAGAGACTAAAACATAACATGTCCAAAGCTGATCTGATCATCTTTCCTCCAAACTTGCTCCTTTCCTATGCTCCCCATTTCTGTGACACCACCTCCCACCCAAACGGCCAATTCAGAAACTCCAGACTCATCCTCACCTCCACTTCCCCTATCTCTCCCCCACCATCAATTTCTGGATCCCACTCTCTTGATACCTCTCCCATCTATCCCTTCCTCTCTGGGCCCTGCTGTCCCAGTTTTGGCATCCAGTTCTCCAATTCTCTTGCCTAAACTTCTGCAAATGCCTCCTTACTGGTCCCCCTGCTTCTACTCTCACCCTCTCCGGTATACTCTTCACACTGCTGTCAAAAAATTGTTTCCATCAACCAGGTCTGACCATTTTACTGTGGTTCAAAATGATTCAGTGGCTCCCAGCTGCTTAAAGGTTAATATCTAAACTCTTTAACCAGGCAGACAAGTCCTCAATAACACGGCTCTTATCTCTCTTTCAGCCTCATTTCCCAACACACTCTCATTAATACTAAACTTTGGGTATTACTTCCAGGGACTTTCTTGTTCCTGCTTGGAATCCACCCCCATCCCTCTTCCTGGTGTGTCTGGCAAACTCCTACTCATCCCTCAAGTTTCAGCTCAAATACTACCTCCCCTCGGAAGCCCCTAGTCTGGGCCCACCGTCTGCTTTGCTCCTGATGTCCCCCCGACTCTGCTCATCATACTGTCCCGTTTATGTTGGATTATCTGATTCCCCAGAGTTTTGAACTCAGTGAGGACATTATAAGCACCTAGCAGGATCAAGAAGTTCAGGTGCAGAGAGGCAAAGCTATACATTTATGTTCCATGTGCAAACTAGAAACCATTTTTCTGTGTTGGTGAGCTGGAAATTGAGAATGTCATAATTTATTTTTATAGGTTCCTTAGTGGTTCCTCAGTAACGCATTCCTCGCAAAAGTGACCTCTGAAATCTCAGATGTTCGCACGGGTAGACTGATGAGACCTCTTACTGGTCCCCTCCCCAACGTGATTTTCGTGTTGCACTCTTGGTAATCTTTTCAAAACACATATATCTGATCATCTCTCTCACTCCATCTCACATACACCACATCCTGCTTAAAAGCCTTTAAGGCTCCCTATTATTCTCAGGTTAAAACAAAACAAAAACAACCCCTGAACATAACCTATGCTATCTAGCCATTTCTTCAACTCCTATCCCACATTATTCCACTATCTGTGTTGCAGTCATACTGGTCCTTTTCTGGGTTCCTTGTGCTTGCTTCCCTAGCCCCACTGCATGGCCTCTGCGTGTGCTTCTCTGTCTGGATAATTCTTTCCATTCTTCTTTCCCTGGTCCATCTTATCCTCACCCTAAGTCATCAGCCCTAGTGCTGCTGCCTCAGGGTAATGTTCCCATCTTGTGCAGATCAAATTCCGTGTCTCTCTCTGCCATAGTTTGTGTCACATTGCATTTTGGTACTTAGCAATGTGGTGGTTTAATCAATGCCCAGCACTCTAGGGCTGGCTGGTGAGTTCCGTGAGGGCAGGAACCACGTCTCCCATGTTCCCTACGGCATCTCAGTGCCTGCATAGAGCTTGGAGGCCAAGGACAAAGGAGCAGCTCAACAAATAATTGATGAATCAGTGAATGAGTAAGTGACTGAATGAATGAAGAACAAGACTAACAGGCGTTTTTCCCACTGCTTTCACCCTCACTGCTGCCCTGTGGTTGCATACGTTCCTTAACAATTTTTCAAAGTGTTTTGAGATAAGCTATCTCATTTGATATTAACAACTGACTTTTAGAAAGGGCAACCAATGCAGGTGACTTGTCCAATGATACATGGCTAGTAAGCAACAACGGGACTAAAATCAAGCCTTGTCACTTTTCAGACCAGGACTCTGGTCATTAAACAACCAAAAAGGAAGCAAAAGAAGGGAATGTAGAACTTCATAAGGAGCATCTACACAAAAGACATCAAATAGAAACAGCCAAATAAACTAAAATAAAAACACAAAATAGGGCCGGCCTGCTGGCACAGCAGTTAAGCGTGCACGTTCTGCTTCGTCGGCCCAGGTTTGCAGGTTTGGATCCTGGGTGCGGTCGCGGCACTGCTTGGCAAGCCATGCTGTGGTAGGCGTCCCATGTATAAAGTAGAAGAAGATGGGCATGGATGTTAGCTCAGGGCCCATCTTCCTCAGCAAAAAGAACTTTGGTGCATGGAACATGGGCACAAATACTCTATGGGCTGGCATTTTAGCATACACAGTTTGGGCTCTCAGAAAGAGCACATCACCATTCTCGTACAACAGGGCTCAGTTAATATTCTATCATCATTCTCATTAAAATTTAGATGTTCAATAAATATTGACCACTAAATTATTAGTGGGAAAGTCTATTTCTGGAAACCTTTCCCTTCTTTCCTTAATGAGACTATTTATTTATTCTTGTAAGGAAATGAGAGAAAAGTTATCACTTGGCAGGTTAAAAGAGTAGCTGGATGCCTTAGTTTCAAAGAGCGACCTCAAACTAAGTATACTTGCTCATTTACCTAACTTTTTGAAAAGATCTACTATTTTTTTTCTTTTAAAGATTTTATTTTATTTTTTCCTTTTTCTCCCCAAAGCCCCCCAGTACATAGTTGTATATTCTTCATTGTGGGTCCTTCTAGTTGTGGCATGTGGGACGCTGCCTCAGCGTGGTTTGACGAGCAGTGCCATGTCCGCGCCCAGGATTCGAACCAAGGAAACACTGGGCCGCCTGCAGCGAAGCGCCCGAACTTAACCACTCGGCCACTGGGCCAGCCCCTGAAAAGATCTACTATTGAAACACAATTTCTAAGTGTGTTTAAATTTTCCAAATGTGTTTAATTTTTTGATGACTTAAGAAAATGATTGAGTACCTTTATAATACTACGCGAAGACGTGCTTTTAAGTTCAGATGTTATTTGCCTAACAAAATGGACAATTAACTGTTAATGTACACGAAAAGTTAACCATTTACTGAGTGTTGACTATACTGAAAGCTCTGTGCCCTTCATGGGGCTTATATCAAAGCAATTCTAGTCTTCCAACTGCTCCACTTATGTTTAAACTCATTTTGCCTTGAGTTTAGTCTACTCAGCAGCACTTTCTTTTTGGGGGGGGGGACGTGAGGAAGGGGAGGAAGGTATAAACATACGACCTAGACGTGCAAAAATTCTTGTACAGTATCTTCAGTCCGTTATCATTTCCTAGAGAGAATTGGGTAACAGCTGAAAGTCCATACAAAGTTAAATAGTTTCACTCGTTTGATGGAATGTATGCAGCCGTTAACAATGAATTCCTGCATTTGCCCATATTCCCAGTGAACAAACATTATTTTTCCAACTAGGAAAATGCAAGAATTGAAAAAAGCGAGAGAAAGTCGCCCTTCGCCTGACCCACTAAGTCTTCCTCGAGCTAGGGGATTGTCGGCTGGCTCCGATGAGTTTCCAGCGCCGGCAAACTCGTCTTCTCTCGCAGCCTGCGGGGCCGACCGCGGCGCCAACAAGCGCGGCTCGTGCGCTGCGCTGGCCGCGGGGCGTCCCGCGGCGGAGCCCTGCCGGCCAGACCCACGCGCGGGGGGCTGGCGCAGCGCGCCTGCGCGCTCAGTCACGTGGCGGGCGCTCCGCGCAAAGAGGGTTAAAAGTCACGACCGCGGAGAGCCCGCGAGTGCCCGGCCGCTCGGCGCTACGCTCCCTGCCTCCCTGAAACTGATTCTGACGGAGGCCGCTCCACTTTTCTCGACCACCTCCCGACCCCTCGGCCCGGCTCAGCTCCATGGAGCGAGCGGAGCCGCCTAGCACCCTTCCTCGCCGACAACACAGGCGCGCGAAACCGCGTCTTTCAACTGACAATGAAGCCATAGCCGCGCAGCACGGCCGCTCCGGGCGAAGGGGCGCGAGGCCGGGAGGGGGAGGGGGAGAACGGGTGGGCCAAGCCCCGCCCCAGCTCTTCCCCCTATTGGCGGGCACCGCGGGCCTAGGCCCGCCCCCTAACGGACCTGTCGCATTGTGACAGGTGGAAGAGCCAGTTCCTGTTGGGTCGGGGGCGGAGCCAGAGGTAGCCTGAGCTCCGCCCGGACTCCAGGGGGCTCCTCCTCCCGCTCCTCACGGCGGGGCGGGCGGCGGGTGTGAGGGGGAATGTCATTGCTGCTCCGAGCTGTGGTGCCGCCTCCGTCGGCTGCTTCTCCTTCTCTGGCGCCCTCGTCCCGTCGGCTTTCGCCGCTGCCGCAGCTGCGCTGGGGACACGGATGGCTAGTGGGGCGCAAGGGCCATCCGAGTTGAGAGAGCGGCGGTCGCGGCCGCTGCTGAGGCGGAGACTCCCCGCCGCCGCCTCCACCCGCTGTCCCCCGGCCTCGCGGCGCTGAGGGCGGGAGCGCGCGGCGCTCTTCCCTCCTCCTCCTTTTTCTTCCTCCTCCTCCTCCTCTCCTCCGGGTCCCCGCCCAGCACCCCTCGCACCAGGCGGCGGCGGCGGCGAGGAGCGAGACCCGCCGCCGGGGCACAACATGGCGGAGCCCTCGGCCCCGGAGAGCAAGCACAAGTCGTCCCTCAACTCGTCCCCGTGGAGCGGCCTCATGGCCCTGGGGAACAGCCGGCACGGCCACCACGGGCCCGGGGCCCAGTGCGCGCACAAGGCGGCGGGCGGCGTGGCGCCGCCAAAGCCGGCCCCCGCGGGGCTGTCCGGGGGCTTGTCGCAGCCGGCCGGCTGGCAGTCGCTGCTCTCCTTCACCATCCTCTTCCTGGCCTGGCTGGCCGGCTTCAGCTCGCGCCTCTTCGCCGTCATTCGCTTCGAAAGCATCATTCACGAGTTCGACCCTTGGTGAGTGTCCGCCGCCCCTCCCCCGCCGCGGGCACGGGGACGGGGACCGGGACCGGCGCCTCTGCCGCCGCCGCTCTCCCCGGACTTGGCCCCGAGCCCCGCTCGCGCCCCGGCGGAGCGCGCGGCTCCCGGAGCTCCGGGCGCGCCCCCTGCCTGGGGGCGAAGTTTCCCCCGAGCAGCCGGAGGCGGGGCGTCGGGGTCCCCGAGTGGGACCGCGACGCCCGGCCGGGCGAGGGTGACGACCCCCACGAGGGCGAACGGAGCCTCTCGCCGTGGGCTCGGGTCGCAGGGTCCGGAGTGGCCACGCCGGGAGCCGCAGGTCGCTCCTCGCCGACTCGCTGCGGACTCCCGCCCACCCAGCCGGCCGCCCGCGGCGTTCGCGTTCCTGCGTTTTGCGGGCGCGTTTCTGTGGTTGGGCTGGATCGGCCCGGGGCGCGCTGTTGCCGTCGGAGGGGAGCCCAGAGGTGCGGGAGCCCTGCGTGCCAGCCTCGCAGTCGTACGCCTTTCCCGTGTCTCCTTTTGCTCTCATTATACGAGAAGGGAAAAAGAGAGGGAGCGAGGTGTTGTGGCAAAGGAAATGGTATCCCTGAAAGTGATCTGAAAGCTGGGGACTCTTATTTATTTAACATTAGATATTTTCAAGAGTGGCTTTTTCCAAGGCCCTTAAGTGCACTCAGCGCCTCACTGTTCCACAGTTATCTCGGGTCGCTTTCTAGAGCAAGATCGTTAGTCTGTTAGCCCAACTGTCACCCTCGGTAGGTTATGCACGAGATCCGAAAGCATTGCATTAGTTCCTTTATTGGTCTCTGCAGGAAGGTTTGTGGATGAGAACAAACGGCCCTACGGTGACGAGGAGCCAAGCCCTGGATTATACTACCGAAGTTGCACATGTGTCAGGAACTGACCTGGATGTTTTTGGGAATTACTCCATTAAGAGCACTAGCTACTTTAGACGGCAGACTGGGCTATGAGTTATCCAGATAGGAAGATTGCTTTTATTTTTTTTTCCAACTTGTCCAATCTGAGTTTGGTTTTTTTTTTTCATTTTTTTCTGCTTGATCGTATGCCTTTTAAACTAACTCAATTCATCTTGCTGGCCTATCAGCCTTGAGTTAATCTTGCTTATAATTAGACTTAAGTAGACTTGAGGATATTTATCATTTGAAATATAGAAAGAGAATCTTCTTGAGAGTTACTAAATATATAGGTATTAAATATTTTGGGGAGTGAGTTACCATATATTCAAATGTTGGATTAAAGTTATGTTATGAATAGAAAAACTGGTAGTGCCTCGTCTATGGAACACCAGGGGGGCCCACTCATGGAGAATTCAGTTTAGGTAGTCAGTTAGCTACTGTGACATTCTTCCGTGAAACGTTTTAATTCCACTTTAGAGGTTTTCATTTTTTCCTAACACTTTTTAAAAAATAACTTTTATGTTACTTGGAATCACAGAAGAGAATAAATTACCGTGAAGCTTTGTTAGCTAGTTACAGTATTCTTATTCTTAGCTTAGAAACACTTATGCAAATTAGGTAAAAATGAAATTGGAACCAGAAAATGAAAACTGCTAATATTTTACTGAACAACATGAAAAGAGAAAGTTCTGTCTTTTCACATTACAACAGCAGAAGTGTATGGCTGGGCAAACATTACGGGTAACAAAAATTGTGAATAATGTTCCCAGAGAGTATCATCTTTACAAACGGAAGGCCGAATACTGTTTAGTAGTGATGTTGAGGCTGAAATTAAGGATTGTAGAAAAATTCAAAACTGAATGATGAGACAGTTTTGTCATTTTTCCTTATTTTGAAGGAAGATTAGAAATCTACCTCAAGTCAGCCAAAGAGTACTACTAAAATTGAGTATCGTAATCATGAAAAGTCTTACTGGGTTGCTTCACAAATAATATTCCTTTTTTTTTTTTTTTCAAGTGTTCCAAAGAATGAAAAGTTGATTTCTTTCTCTAGTTTCGAGAATACACTTAGAGAGCATAAACCTTTTTTATCCGCATGAAAATGTCTATAAAAACACATTTCAGAAACATTTTCCTTTAGCTAAATGCATAACATTTGAATTATAATTTGTATACACTAATCTAAATGTATATGCACCTCTTCGTTCTTAAAGACCTGCTTAATTTAGGTGTTCTGCTTACTGATAGTTTTAATATTTACATTTTAATATATTTGTGATTAAATGTTTCTGTTCATAATGTTAGATAATTCTGATTAGTACTAAACAGCCTTTTATCATAAAGGAATTGTCCCTATCTCTTATTGTGAACAGAGATTTGCCAATATAAATCTAATGTCTAGTTCAGGTGACTTAATGAGAGAAGTAGGTTTCAGACAAGAAAAAATCCCTTATTTGCTCATTTTTTATTTCTTTTCATATTTGTTGAAGATCTTCAGTAGTTAGGCATTGCATTCTTAATCCATTCTTGTTGAAAAATTTTAAAAAGGAGCTTAGGTGTAGATTTGCCTGTCATTATTACTTTGGATTTTTGAAGTAGTTTTCCTTCAAAGCTACTAATAGTACCAGCACTTTGACTGATCTACCATCTAACACCCTAGTGTTGGACTAGTTTGGGAGTCTCTCAGATTACTGTTTTAACATGTAGCAATGACATGAGCCTTTAATAATACTTAAATGTTCCTCTCAGGTTCTGTGTCCACAAACCAATTTATTCTGACCTTCCCCCATCTCTTTTTTTCATGTTTCTGTTACTAGCTTCATTTCTGAAGTCTTTTTAGTGAAAAGTTTACTTTCTTTGTTTGATTGTGAGTTATATCTATAAATTTTACGTTAGTTCTTAGGTTGTATAAGACTTTAGTTAGCTGCCAAAGGTGACTCATTGTCACAAAGTTATACTTGTTTTTTAAATTTGTCACTCAAGTTATTTTATAAAACTTACCAGTTATAAGGGGTGGTATATGATGTTGAATATGTTTATTCAATTTTAAAGTATGCTGCACTTTTTTAGAATTTAGAACCATTTTTGGTGATGATCTCCTTACCACTTCACTGTAGTAATTTCCTCTCTTATCAGTTGAGTTGATCACACATGAGGAAGCAGTTTGAGAACATGTTGTCTGTAATTGAGATACATTTGGTTGACCAACTAATTTAATAGCACCTAATTTTGTCTTTTTATCTGGAGCAAAATGTAGTTTGTTTATTTTTGTTGTAACTATTAATACTTTTACATTATATTAACCAAGTACCTTTTCTGTAATCATTCTCTTATTAAATTGTAGCTTTTCCTACAGAGGCAATGTAAAAGCTCTCTGTGTGAGGAGAGCTGCCCTTTTCTCTGCCTGCACGGGTGGTAGTGGGTTCTCCTTAGGGCCCTAGAGAGAGAATTCTCTGAGCCTTGAGTTTTGGCTGCATTTAGCTGATGCCTTTTTGCAGGTTAGAAAGCTGCAGTTTGGAGTTGAAACTTGAAATGCACCTTTTCATAGAAACTGTGGTATAAATAGGTTAATTAGTACAAACATGTTTTCAAAGGACTGATAAACCTTTGGAACATAAGCTGTTTGTAAGTTGGGGACTACTTCCTGTACTTTGAGGTGTCCATGTTTTTCTTCACTTTGCAGATGACTAAAAGAGGCTATTGACCTCAGTTCTGAAGAAGACAAAATGGGTAACAAAACCAGTTTTAGAGCACAAACATCCCCAAATCTTAAAAAGTCACTTTGTGGAATCGTTAGCAACAGCAGTCCAGCTGCACTTCAGAACAGGTATACTGTCACTGATTTCATTGTAATTTAAAATTTTTCTGGCCTTGAGCTTTTGAGATCATTCTAAATTATAAGAACACTTAGGGAGGAGGTGCAGGGAGTGCCTTGAGTTGCTGGATTGGATCTGCTCCCATTTGGGGTAAGTGCGGTGGCTCCTATAGGTAGTAATCATGGGTTTCATGAAGCATATGATAGGTCCTGGAGTAGGATCTGTCAGCAAAGATTCTGGAACTTTTTCTTTCTCTTTAGGGTTTTCATGTTTTGAGGGCTAACTTGGGTAAGACTGCACCACCCCGTACAGTATAGGCTCTGACCCAGTATTATTAATGTGGGGAAACTTACTGGCCTGTGTATACTTAATCTGTCTCTTATTTTTACGTTCTCAATAAGTTTTGAGTGCTTCAGGATATGAGAAAGTGTTAAAAGTTCTCTTCATGGTAATGTCTTAGTGTTCATCAATGCATACATGCTCTCAGAAATAATGGAAAGATTAATATTCTCAAGTGACTGAATCATATTTTTTCTGTTTGTTTACTTTGAAAACTTAAAGACAAAACTGCAGTTAACCTGAATTATAAAGCACTCCACAATTCAACAGATCTGTATATTACTAAATTGTTATACTATGAAAAATTTCAAACATACAGAAAAGTTGAAAGAATTTTATAGTGAACACTCATACTCAACACCTAGGTTCTACAGGTAGTATTTTATTTTACTTTATCACATCTTTCTATTTGTCCATTTCTGCTTTTTTTTTTTTTTTTAAAGATTGGCCCTGAGCTAACAACATCTGTTGTCAGTCTTTTTTTTTTTTCCTTCTTCTTCTCCCCAAAGCCCCTCAGTGTAGTTGTATATTCTAGTTGTAGGTCCTTCTAGTTCTGCTATACAGAACGCTGACTCAGCATGGCTTGATGAGTGGTGCTAGGTCCACGCCCAGGATCTGAACCAGTGAAACCCTGGGCTGCCAAAGCTGAGCATTCGAACTTTCGTGGGGCTAGCCCCACGTTACTGCTTTTAAGTCCTGCTTGTACACACTGATAGGGCATTGTTCACTGTCATATGAAGAACGTTATCTTTGTTCCCCAACTTCATGATAAAGAGGATCTCTTATTTCTGGATAGCGTTTGTTACTATAATACTTGAACATAATGAGTATAAATACTGTTTCTGTATCATCCTCAATTGGACTGCAGGTTAAAACTAGATTCAATCATTCTAGGTTTTGGATAGAAACTTAGCTGAGTACATCATAAG